GCCAAAACTGCTCCTGTTAGTGGTGAGATCCAGACTTCCTTGGATGTGAAACTGTTCTAAAAGTTAGAAATGCTAATGTAGCCTTCCTAGGCCATTGGGAAGTAAAGCTTATTTTGTTTAAAAGAAAGCATTAATAAAAAATAGCTGTAGTTATTTTTCATACATCAAATGTAATACTGTCTATCTCTCCTTTTACCCAACAGTGGTGTTGTACATGTTCACTGGGCAGCTCATTAAGCCAGAATTGTGCCCACAGTTTTAACACCAAAATAACTAGGCAGCTGGGCTGATGACAGTGGTCTGAATGTCTTGCAAGAGAGGTAGGCTTAATAACAAGGAAAGGCTTTTCTTGGTAATGGAGAACAGAAACAATGACAGGAAAAGCCCTTGCCAACTCATTGCCCTTGCTGTCCTTTTTGCTGTTTCTGGAAACCCTTTGCTATGGGTTTCAGTCTGAAGTGGAAAACTCTAGCAGTGTTCTGAAATGGAGCATGAGAGCAGCAAACAAAATGCTAAGAATCAGTCAGCTCAGTATGCTCATTGGGAGTCTCCCTTCTGGCACTAAACTAAGAATAGGTGGGTTTTGTGGTAATTAAAATAGAAATAATCTAAAAATGATTGTTCCAAATAAGAAAATAATAAAATTGATTGAAAGCAGTAGAACAGCTATACAGCTTCAGGCTTTTAGCCAGAAAATGTAGGTAGGTCTTATTTGGGATTGTTGAGTTCAGATACTGGCAAATTCAAGAAAAATACAAAAGCTTGCAGTTCTTGGGAGAAGTGGATAACACTAATACTGAACTGTAAACAGACTCCTAATCCAAATGGATGAAAATATCTTCCATCACTCCAAAACAAAATAAATTTTTATATAGGAGGCAGTATTTTATGGGCTGAATGTACAGATAAGAGTGAAAGCCATAAACTTTAGATGTGACTAGTGGTTTGAGTATTCTTAACTTGAAAAAACCCAGGATGCCTTCTCCTAAGCGTTGCCGTTGGATGCTGCTCAGCACTGCTGAAATCAAGGCTGAAGTTTTACTGTCTTTTTAAGAATCTGGGTAAAAGCTCTTGGGTTTTATAAAGCTTTGATTTATACCTATTTGTTTGGTATTCACTGGAAAGAGTAAAATACTTCATAACTGGTTGTATTGTTGAACTTAACATGCGGGAAACATTATTCACTTATCATAACAACTAAGTGCTTGCCCTTCAATAAAATAGGGGGGGGAAAAAAAAGGGTGGCTGCTAACTGACTTTCCAGACAAACGTGAAATAATGAATTAATTTTAAATAAATAAAGCTTACCTAATCCTTTTTTATGACTGCAAAATACTCCTTTGGTGTTCTTTTTTTTCTGTAGTTTTCCTTTCTAATATTGCTTTACCAAGAAAGATGTTTCTTTTATGCCTGTAGTTTTCTGGGCTTTTTCTGTTTCCAGTATCAGCAGCCAGCTCCTCTCCTGCTGCCAAAGAACAGTGTGTGGTGTGGAAAATGAGCCATGACATACTTCTGGTGACATGACTGGACATACAATTTTACATGCAAACTGGCTCAAGTGATGTCAGTTATTTTTCTCCAGATAGTACCAGTTCCTTCTTCATGTCTTTCTGTGGCCAACTCAGGCACCTCTGCCTGTGGGCTTACATCCACCTGATGAGACAATGGCAGCTCTGCATGGGGGACGCACTGGCTCAGAGACCTAATGTTCCCCCAGTTGGACATTTTAGCTTTCTTTTCTGGATGGGATAGTGCTGAGCTGACAGATGAGACTAAACCATGTGCTGTTTAAACCTATAGCCAGAATGCTTTCTTCAGCATGTGCTTTCTGTTTTGCAGTTGGAAGCAGGCAAAAAGGAGAGCAACAAGTAAGGGCTGTTGGAAAAGAGAAATGTGTGTATTTCTTTTGGCAAGGAAGGCACTCCACAGTGAGTGAGAAAGGGACATCGGCACTGATGACAGTGGAACTCGATGAAGAGAGAGGAGCACAGGTGAGCTTCCTGCAGACCTAGGTGGCAGTCCTGGTGAGATCTACCTGCCCAAATAGCCACTAATGGGAAATGCAGATTATCTTTTTTGCCTTTTCTCTTTCTGTAAAAGTGTTCTTGAGTACATATAGCCAGACCTCAAAATTACTTTTGCCTTTATTCCAGTTTCCAGAGACACGTAAGGTCCTTTGTGGGTTGTCATTCGCAAATCCCACTTCTAAAGATCATATTTCTGAGAATGACTGAGGAAGAATATCCTCCCTCCTCTACCTGCAGGAATAGGTGAAGCACAGTCAAACAAATTTGTGCCTTCACTTCAAGAACAAGTTCAGATAACGTCTGTTTTCCTAGTGCTGAGAACAGGAGAAATGCTTTCTGTCAAGCCAAGGCATGAAAATACATTGGAATTTTTCAGTTTCTTTACTCTGTAATTACGTATTAGATTGCCTTGTTTTGCAGAGATTCTAGCAACTGGAGATTCAGCTAGTTTGAAGCTCAGAGGACAGACTGGCTTGCTTTGTCTTTAGGCAGAGTTGGGCTTTGCTGTGGCTTGACTGTTACCAGCATAGAAGGTGGGAGGTTTAAAGTTAGCTTCTTGATAATGCTGTAGTTGCTTTTGTTAATAGCAGCATAGGTATGACCAGTAAGACAGGAGTTCATAGAGGAGATACATAAGTACACTTGACCCAGAGTGTGGAATTCTGTGCAACACAGCTGAGTTAGCAATTGGCTGTATCAGTTTCATAATCACAATGCAAAGTTTAATGAGCAAAGACCATAGATGTTGTCATATAAACCAGTTTTTACCACAAATGTTGAGCCTACTTCAGTTCCTACATCATCTAAAAAGAACATCAGGCAAGGTGGCCCATTCCTATAAAGAATTCAAATAATGGTTAGTTTAATTTAAGTTAATTTGGTATTCCTTATCTTCTGAAAGCCTTGATTGTTGGATTCCAGCTAGAGGTTTCTTTTGATATGCAGGTCACGTATGAAATCCATTGCATGCTGATCGCTTAAACAACAGTCAGCAGTTATAATGCAGAAGGAAAGCCATCTTTGTGGGTAGCCATAATTATATAATTTTTAATAATCCACAGAGGCTGGTTTTGCAGAGTCTGTGTGCTTGCTTCATTTTTTAATGAAGAGTGGTGCTTTCAATTTCCAGGTACAAGTGCTTCAAGGGAAGGAACCGCCATGCTTCCTGCAGTGCTTCCAAGGAGGAATGATTGTGCATGCTGGAAGAAGGGAAGAGGAAGAAGAGAATGCACAAAGTAAATTACTGTCAATTAATAGCTTCTGCCCCTAAATTCTTTATCTATTGTGAAGGGCTTTGAATACAGTCTCAACTACCATACTATGTAGAAAAGGGATATGAATGCTATGAAACCTATGAGACAGTTTTGCAATGCTTTGTTTCAAGAGTTTGTTGTTTCTTGGTGCACAGAATGGATTTTGTCACCCTAGAGCAAGATGACTTTATTGTATTGGTACACATATAAGTTGCTGCAGTTGTTTTTTATTTAAGCAAAGTGCCCATTTGCTTTAAAATATATTCTTTTCTACATAGCCAGGACATAGAATATTTTTATGAGCAATTCTCCTACTCCAAGGAGAACTCTAAGCTTTGTGTAACCCATTCATAACTATTTGCAGCATATTCCTTGGATGCTGCTGTTGAGGTAGGAAAAATTTTAATGCAGATGTAGCTTGGACATGTTCCATTTCACATCTGACTGTGACCTCCTATGCCTAAGGTGCACAGAGGAAGAGGAGCTGAACAGAAAGGACTACTGTTTATGTTTTCCTTTTTTTTCCTGTTCGAAAAAGAGCAGAAGCTTGACTCTCCTGCTCAGTTAAGCTCTTTGGCTCTTAATACTTGTACTTTTATAGCAGTTTCAGAAAGCATCTTTTCTACAATAGGATTTCTTAAGTAGCTTTAGCCAAACCTGGTGCTCAGTTAGTTTATTCTGTGACAATATAGTCATGGGATACATGAAATTCATCCAATATGAGCTGCTCCAGAGCAGAAGTCTTGAGTTTTCAATTCCATGTGACTGTATAATACTGCTGCACTGTTCCTGTCTGCTCCAGGTGACTGGAGGCTGTATTGCGTGCGAGGAGAAGTTCCCAGTGAAGGAAACTTACTTGAAGTAGCATGTCACTGCAGCAGCCTGCGTTCCCGGACATCCATGATTGTCCTCAATATAAATAAAGCTCTTATCTACCTGTGGCATGGCTGCAAAGCACAATCTCACACCAAGGATGTAGGAAGAACAGCAGCCAATAAAATAAAAGAACAGTGAGTGTCTGACCTATATTTTGGAGATGATTGTACAGGCTATCAATTTACTTAAAATAATGTGCCTCAAAGAAAAGTTGAAACAAAGCTGTCCTCTGAGTAGAACTGCAGCACCTGCATGCTTGGTAAGGAGGAGTGACAGGTAGTTGATTCAGTGAAGTGGGGAAAAACATGTTCTGTAATCACCTTTACTTAAGGTCAAGTTCACTTACTATTCCTACTGTACTGCTAATTACAGCTGGAAAAAAAATAAAGTAGTCTCCATTTGGAGGCACATGCTCAATATCTGAATAGCAAACTAAATCCCAGCTGGTAGGAAGATTAGAATCAAGGCTTGTGAATAAGGAAGTGGAGATGAATTTGGGAAAGTATGTGAGGAGGACAGCAGTAGTTGCAAACACAGGCAGTGAAAATCCCTACCGAGAGCTTACGCAAGCATATTCTCCACGCTGGGTATGTGATCAAAAATGGTATGAGAAGGTTGCTGAAATTCTGTATTTTGCTATTGATATTTTTTGTCGTCATTTTCGAAATATCCGTGTCCACACGAAGTGTGCAACAAGCCTGCAGGGTGCTCTTGGGTTGTGGTGCGGGGAGTGGCCGGCAGGCTGCGTGGGCTGTGTCGGGGTGAGAGCCGAGGTCCCTCTGGCCCTGTTCCGCAGGTGCCCGCTGGAGGCCGGGCTGCACAGCAGCAGCAAGGTGACCATCCACGAGTGTGACGAAGGGTCGGAGCCCCTGGGCTTCTGGGACGCGCTAGGAAGGAGAGACCGGAAAGCCTATGACTGCATGTTGCAAGGTAGACGTGCGTTCCTGCATTGGGCACTCACGCTTTATCTACTGGTCTGTGGTACTGTGAGATTTAATGTAAAGCTTCTGAAGAACTTCTTAGTAGTTGAGATGATCCCTTCAGATGGATGATTCTAAAAATCAAAGGACTTAAGTAATACTCTTCTGGAAGGAAAGCGCTGGAAAACGAAGTGTTTCATTTTGTTCTCTTCCCCTTCTGCAGCCTTTCTGTATTCACGCAGCACAGACCAGCAGTTAGCACTTCTTACCAACACGTTTTGCTTCTCTTCTGAAGGGATTTAGGAGGCAGTTCTTCACACGTTTTTGTCCAGTCTTTGCTTTGAAACTGCCAACAAAGATAGCAGGGGGATTGATTTACCAAGTGGAAAATTTGTCAGCTAAATATCAAGTCTGAGACGGGTTTGCTTCACTTAAGCTGCAAAATAGTCGGTTATAAAATGGCTGATAGTAACTAGCCAGGATCAGACTCACACTGATGGCCACCAGCCTTTTAGATCAAGTTCTTAACAGCTGTTACTACCCCCCAAGACATCTGGTCATCTTTCTTAACTTTTCAAAACCTAGGGAATTTACAGTCATTCTGAAAGTGTTGTTGTTTTTTGGGGGGTTTTTTTAAACTTTTATCTTTTTACATTCATCTCTGGCATTTTCTATTGGAAATATTCTTAATTTCTCTTCTTTAAAGATCCTGGAAAGTTTAATTTCACCCCCCGCCTGTTCAGCCTCAGTAGTTCATCAGGAGAATTCTCAGCCACCGAATACGTTTACCCTTCAAGAGACCCTGCTGTCATCAATTCCATGCCATTCTTGCAAGAGGACCTTTACACTGCCCCACAGCCAGGTATATGCTTTAAAATACTTAAGCAACAAGAAAACACATAACTGTGTGCTGCTCTGGGCAGTGATTCAGTAACTGTAATCACTTTTAACTTGATTTATCACAGGGAAAATGTGTGCATGTGATGCTTATGCAGCATTAAGGAATAACAGTAATTTTTCAGTGATACAGGTGCTGAGAACAAATCAATGTACCCGAAAAGCTTGCTATAAAAATTAAGTTTATATCAAAGAATCTGAGTTTAGCTGAGGTTCAGCTGGAAGAATGACAAGAGGGGTATAATAAAAGGGAATAACGAAAATGATTCTGTCTTGATGCTGACAAGCATTTAAGACTGGGATTATTTAAAGGATTCTGAGAACTAATAACTGGGTGATGATGGATTTGTTGGTTTTTTTTTGGTGACGTAGCACTGTTCCTTGTTGACAATCACCATGAAGTGTACCTGTGGCAAGGCTGGTGGCCTGTGGAAAACAAAATTGCTGGATCTGCTCGAATCAGGTGGGCTACAGACAGGAAATGCGCCATGGAGACAGTGCTCCAGTACTGCAAAGGTAACAGTTTCCTGTGCCTGGCTGTCCCACTGTGTCATATCTTCCCATGCCTTCCTGTCCTAGGCTGAAAGGTATGCAGGTGCTCCCTCAGCATTGCCAATAAACATCAGTGTATTTGAAGATTTGGTGGATGAGAAGCTCAACATGAGC